AGCTGTATGTAGAATTCCTCCCTGTACAACCACCAGGGGCGCCATGCCCTGTGTTGCACTTTGTTGCATCTGTCTAGATAAGCCACTCTTTAATATAGTGTTCCGCTGCTCCACGTGGAGATTGTGGGGAAGGCGACTGTGTGTGTATGAACTGCACCTTGTAATCAGAGCTAGAATGTGCAGCTGGCACTGGAACAACTGTACCACTCGGAGAATTAATTTCAACTGGCCTTTGTGACTTGCTTGAACTGGCTGAAGGAGACAGAACACTTAAAATTTCCCAAAAAAACATGTACAATCAGCCAGAAAACCCTCAGCTTTGTTTTTTATATTAAAAAAAAGCACAGTTACTGAATTTGCAGTGTAGCTTTCTCAGCAGAAAGAGACTTGCTTCAAAAATAGTCCTATAGCCCCCTTTTGTGGGGGAGGACTGTCACTATCCCCAAACATGCCTTCTTTTTTTGCATTATGTGGACCCATGCAACAAAACAGTTTTTTCCCTGCTCATCTTTAGGAACCGTATTTAACCATTTAAACAAAAACTTATAGAGTACTGACCCCAAAGAGTCAGGTTTACACATTTTCCACTCTTGAACAACGTTTGCAGACATATTGAAAATTATGCACACATGACTGGTGTTTCAGACAGGAATGGTCCATTGCCCAGAACCATGATCTGGTCACAAAGCTTCTACACCAGAATTAGCTTCTGATGCGTGTGACCGCTGGGGGCTCTCCTAATCAACAGTTGTTTTAATTCCACTGAATACGCCGTCACCCTAAATTCTACAATGCAGTTTTCCCAAAGGCTATGCCCAGCCCCCGGAACCAAAGACAGCTCTACCCGAGGCACACTGTTTCACATCGAATTCTCCCAGTAGCACTTGTTGCTATGGAATACATGTGCAACAGCTTTCAACAGCCTTTGTGCAGAAAATCCACCCACACAAGGATAAAGAAAATAAAAAATATTTCCCTGTGCCCTTATTTTGTCATTTAATAGTTACTAGTGGCCATCTTATAAATATTTAGACGTTCAGAAATGTGCTGCGCTCTGAGAAGGGTTCCGCCTCTGACTTCTGCCTTCCCCCTAATACTTTAGGAGACAACCGTCAAAATTTGCGGTTATCCACTTATTAACATGGATTTTACGTCTCTACTAGGCATCAATTTCTGTAACTAGGGTACTTATTTTTCTATCCCTCAAATGAGAATATGTGCTTGTAACGTTAAGTGTGGCAAAAAGCACCAGCACATTTCAAAATAAGTGTTATCTTACCCTTACTGTAATTGTTCAATTTTTAAATCGGGAATTTACAGTCCACACAGAACAAAATTTTGTAAGATCCAATATGCAGGAATTGTGTACAAAAGGCTCCTGCTCACCTGTTATTATTGCTGGCAAATATTAATTTATGCATCCTTTCAATCCCAACTGAAATCCAGCTCAGACTTCAGCCAATTTCGAGGGTCACGGCACCAAGTTGTAATACCCTGTCTTTTATTGGACAGATCTGAATAAGGAAGGAGTCCGTCTTTCTTCATTTTAGTGCTGATTTATTTAAACCACAAGCAAAGTTACAAAACACAACCCGGGTGGCTTCTTCCTCCAGACATCCACAGGCAGGCTGCTGGAAAAGAAAGAGCCCCGGAAGCACAGAACCTAATACATTTATAAGTTTTGGGCTAACCCCTTACATAGAAAGAATGCAAAACATCACGAGATGGAGTCAGTCCAACGTCTCCATTTCTTATCTTATGCTCCACATGCTTCGAGCACTAGTCATAACAAAATGAAGAATTGCGATGTGTGATGTCACGTGGTGTGTAACTAAAATATTCAGTCAGACATAATTCTAACACAGGATGAATACAAGAAAACAATTGGTGTCAAGGTACACTTTTCAGAGTCAACATTCTGTCAACCTTGAAACAGAGCAGACTAGTGCAGACTTTAATTCTTACTAAATTGCATTATTAATACATTTGATTCAACACATTGTCCAATAATTATCTGACTGATTTATTAATATCTAACACAGTGCTGCCAAGTATGGTGAGTGGGGGTAAGGTGGGAGGGCTCTGTCATCTCCACTGTGACAGTGTTCCTGAGCAGGAAGTACATCCTCTGCTGTGCCTTCTTGATGATGGTCCTGATGTTGGATGTCCACTTCAGGTCCTGGGAGATAGTGGAGCCCAGGAACTTTACTTCTGATACAGTGCTGCCAAGTATGGTGAGGGGGGTAAGGTGGGGGGGCTCTTCCTGAAGTCCCATGTCATCTCCACCGC